CCCTTGAGCGAGCTGCACCCGGTATGCAGTGAGCACCCATTAGTCCCCAAAATCCGTGGCGTTTCTGTGAACTCCCTCTTTCCTAGGTGGGCGAGATGCTGGTGGCGGGGCCTGCCAAGCCTCTCCTGAAGCCTTTGGGGTCAGGGAGGTTGTCCTGGGCTTGCCCCTGGATGACCACCACCACCCATGTCTCCCCAAGCACCCGTTGGGTCCTGCCTTCCCAGACCCCAGCCGCGTTTCCCGCAGCGGTGGGAGTGTGGCGAGGAGCTCCCTGCTCTGTGGACCACGCTGCCCTTGCCATTCCAGAGGGGTGGATGCTCCTCATGGGAGTTTTTCCCCTGCTGCAGGGTCCAGTTTATCTCGAGGCTGCGCTTGTGGGTGCCCGATGCCGGTGGTGCAGCCGGGATGTGGGTCAGAAAAGAGGGATGTGGTAATGGGGGTGCTGCCTGCCAGCCTGCACACCTTCGGTAAAGTTTCAGGATACCCAGAAAATATTAAGGCAAGTAATTGCTAAGCCTGGAGTTTAAATAGACCCCGGATGGTCCGTAGTGTCTGTAATCTGCATTTTTCCTTCCTTTAGGAATGTTGTCCCTTTGGGGTGACTGGGTACAACATGGTGTTACGGATGCAGCTCTGCCCCACACGGGGCTTTGCTGAACCTCCACGCCGTTGCTGTCTCCGCAGGAGGCTGTGGATTGCAAAGCCCTGTTGGTTGCTTCGGTTAATTGGTTTGCAGTGTAACGGTGGTTTTTAGTTTGTTCTCTGTGGTGGCAATAGTGACCAGCCACTGTGGTCTGTGGACTGGGTGACTGGGAGCCTGTCTCCGGGGAGCGGGGACTCGGGAAGGAGAGCTGGCTGTCAGCCGGCGCCCGGCTGCACTGTGGAGGGCTTCACTTTACCAGGAGAACCTTAGGGGGCTTGCAAATGGGAAAAAGATGGAAAGCCTGCTCAGCCTTCCTGCAGGTGAAGTGAGATCCCAGAATGATCTTTTTGGTGTGCTGATTGTTTTCTGGATTATTAATTAATTTTTTTTTTGCATTTTCACGTTGTTTCTTGTGCTTCTTTCCTGTACATTTTCAGTCGATTGATATCACTGCCTTTCTCTCTGAATACACCTTCATTTTTTGTTATCCAAAATTCTTTATTGATCTAATAAACTAATTAAACGAGGTGACTTTGAAAACATGGCAGAGTGGCTTAGTGAGTATATTTTAAAATCAGTGTTTAACATACAACATCTCCTGTAAAGTTACCAAACATTCTGCGAGCAGTGTTGTTGTTATGGCTGTTTTCAGAGAACTTGAGTGTTTGCTGGAAAAAATCATCCTTTGGAGTAAAATATTTTCTGTTTGTTTTCACTATGAGAGGGAATAAATTGTTACTGTTAGTGTATCTGAGAGTCCATCCATTCATCAGACCTTGAAGTAAATGATAATACTCCCATGGCCATTTTTGAGATACTGAAGTGTGGAAGTGAAAAAACGTTCATTTCATTATTTAGATATGTGCAAATATCTTTTTTTTTTTCTTTTTTTTTGGCGCTTTCTCTGACAGCTTTTTTAAAATTCCACTGCACCTTTGGTAAAAGGGCCCGAAAGAAGGAGAAATCAGTCCTGAAAGTTCAGCTTGGTTCATATCTGAGTGTGCCGCCTCTCTTGCTTCGTCGCGAATTCACAGCACCCCACTGGCATGATAACGTGGAACGAGCTGCAGAGTCATCCGCAGCTTTGCTTAGTCTTGAACAGTCAGGCTGGCAGGAGAGTGGAAAATGCTTTTCAGCAGGAGGTTTGGTGCTTAGGAAAGTCTGAGGTGGAGCACAGAATTGTGCCACGTATGGGAGTAAATTCTCGCTCGAATGGGGATGGTGTTGCTCCTGTCCCGTGCCCGTCGGTGCCACGGTGCAGGGGGACAGAGAAGGAGCAGCAGGTCCTGCCCACGGGGCAGATTCCTGCCTGCCCTTCCTAGCTGGGCTCCCCTGAGGCTTTGGTGGGCCTTGCCCACGCATGGTGGCAAGGAGGTGCCTGCCAGGGGGTTCGCTCAGCAGTGTTCTTCGTGATAGGAGTCATGGAGCCTTGCTGGAGTTCAAGTGCACTGTATAATTAGTATCATTTTAGCTTCCAGTTGCCTGTAATAGTACCAGGAGGCTGTTTCTGCTTTGCATAACTTACTAGAAAAGATATTTTTGCTTTTCTGCATGTACGCCTTATATAGAAGAACATGCGGTGTGGCTTTTTGTCAGGAGACAGCATGAACTGTATTTTCCAGTGTCACGACCAGCAAATGTGAAATCTGCATCAAAATGCTTTTCCCAAGCATCCTTTAGGCCAGCTAGGGAGAAGTACTGCTGTGTGTGCAGGATGCTCATACCTGAGCTTGGGGCAAATGCCTACTCTGGTCCCTACTCGCATCGAGGCAGTTTTTCCATTGAGTTTATTAGGAGTTGAACTGCGGAAGCGATCTGAGAAATCTTCCAGCCTGAAGGTTGTGAAGTAGGAACGAACAGGAGGAACCCTAAGTGATATGAGGGAAGCAGTAGGCTAGGAGAAGGAGGGTCCAATAAAATCAACTAGTAAAACACACCCATAAAACCTTAAGTTTGAAAGAGTAGCTCAATGCTTACGTGCTCGGCACAACTTTCCATTTTTGATTTTCCTCCTTGTTTCAGGTTTCCTCCTGTCAGAGAGGTGGTCTGTGTGCCTGCCCTCTGCAGCTGGAGGGTCCCTGGTCTGGTCATGCCAGCAGTGGCTGAGGGCCATAGCCAAGATAGATAACAGTATTTCTTGTAGGGGTCATTGCTCTTGGGTGGGTGCTCTTGGCTGGTTTTCCAGATCATAGACTTAGGGAGCAGGACATTAGAAACATTATAGGCTATTAAATGTATTGTTGGAGCGTTTGGCTGCACTAACCTCTCCTTCTAATAAAATTCAGATTTGAGATTTTTGGGACTGTGAGAGGGCTTGGACGTAAACTTTATTAATTTGGTTTTGAAAAAGGAAGTTCTTGCATGCTTTGAAGGAAAAAAAAAAATATGAAGACAGAACTGCAAGTCTCTTCCTTAAATCAAAGTTTTCTGCCTGAAATGGGAACAACTCAGCAGAACAGTTTAAGTAAACATGGCCATAACTGCTTATCTGAGACACTGGCATCCTCTCTTCTTACTGTGTTACTTTTTTGTGGTATCCTGGCGTCTCTCAGTCACTGATGTGTTTGTTCTCACAGCACCTCCTTCACAGGCATATACTTTTACATCCATAGTTGCCTCCAAGATTTGAGGCTTCATCTGAAGTCCTCACTCCAGGGGTGTAGGTTTTTTACACCTCTGTAATGGAGATTTTTGAATTGCTGCCTGAAGGCTCTTCCCCCCTCCAGCCCTCACTTTCTCTGTATCTCTCGTTGTGGCTTCTTCATTTATTATGGGACAGAAAACAGAGGCAGCTGTTCCTGAGTCATCTCGTGTTAGTGTTTAGCACGGAAAGGGATAAAATCTAGGCCAGAGATGGCAAGTGACTGATGATGTCCAGTTGTAGCCTATGCAGGCGGTCAGTGAGTGTAGTATAAACACCAGAGAATTGCTGAAAATCGTGTATCTGTGCAAGAGGGCAAGGAGTTAGGTGCTGTCCTCCAAAGCTACTGCCTGAGCGTGGGGTCATGTTTCTTCTATTCAGTAGAAAAAATGCGCCATATGGCTTATTGATACCTAACAGTACCCCTTGGGTGGGTTTGCCTCTGTGGTAAAATACTGTAGATTCACACTGGGTCTCTTATCCCTGGGTGCACTGTCACATGTAAGTAACTTTCGTGCACTTAAATGCTTCCACTGTTGTTGAAACTTCACTATTAACAGTAATCTTTATTTAAGTTAATATTTTTCTCTTACAACTGAATTCCAAAGGACCTAGTTGTTAGTACATGGAACAACAACAAAAATGTCATAGTTCAGAAAGTAGGAGAATAATTTATTTGATACATGCAATAAAGTAAAAAATTCTGTGATATTTGGTAGGGTACTTCTGTATGTTTTGTAGCATGTTCTTTAAAGTAATGGAAGCATAAGAAATGAGAAACAAGAGAAGCTTTTTGTTTTTTCAAGGGAATTAATGTGCTGATACATTTGTGAGGCTTTACTATATGTTTTTCCTCTTTTTGGCTATGTTAGGAGGAACAAAATCAGTTAAAGAGAAAGAGAAAAGACTATGCCCCTCTCTCTGTCAGTTCTGTCATGCTTCAGACAGTAGTGCATTAGGACATGGGAAGTGATCACAGCCATATTTTTAGTCATATTTTAAAAAATGATACTTCTTGGTGAAATAGTCTCCAAAACGACAAAGCTAGTATACATGCACATGTAAGTACATTGCACTGCCAGTGTCAATCTAGTATATAAAGAGCTTCACAACTGTTTGGATCTGCTCTTCTTTCATAATGGGCTGCAACTTGTTTACTAATGCTTGAAAGCATGTACACATCAAATAAATCTCTGGTATTTGGGCCATAGTGTACCAGCATTATGCAAAGGGAAGATTAACCACACTCTATATTAAGCTAGGATCCACTCTACTCTTGATTCCTAGCTGTACTAAATCAACCAAACCATCAAAGAACAAAATTAGTGGAAGGGTTCCTCAAACAATAGATTTATTTCCGTGTTTATTTGCATTAAGAAAAGGGCAATCAGAAGAGCAAATCTCCTTGGGGCTCAGGGCATTATAAATTAATCGTTAAGACATGAAGTGAACTTTTTGGGTGTGGAAAACCAGCAACAGATGCAAATGCTACATAGCTGCATGGTATGGTGCCTACGGTGTTGCTGCAACAGCTGAGAGACAATACGCTCGCTTCGGCTGCTGGTGCTGTTAATAGATAGTCTTTAGCAAGCATTACATTGGCAAATCTGACACAGAATGAATTTGCAACAGTGACTCAAAAGACTTTCCTAACGCGAAGCATCTTTATTGCATATCATTTTAGCTCTTTCCTGTTTTTACTCTGCTCTCTTTCAGTGAAAAGGTCAAGAAAAGCAGTAGCTCTGTGGCTGAATTTTTCAGAAGTGCTTTACAGCAGGGAAAGTGGGGAAATCTCTTAACGTGGTGTTTTACTCAGTAAGTTAAGCTTTTTGTTCTTCAGTTAATTTATTTTCTGTATTTTGTTGTTGTTGTTGAGTCTTATTTATCAGATTAATTAAACTGACTTTTAATGTACCTCCAGGCAGGTGTAGAACTCCTCATCCCCATCTCAGCTTTCCCCCTCCCCCAGAGGCTGGCCTTTGCTGTATGAAACTGTCCTGGTTTGGTGTGAAGCAGAGCCAACTTTCTGTTCAGTGGGAGATGCTCTTGCTTGTACTTGTTGCTGTGGCAGCAGACCTGGTTGTTTACCAGGAAGGGTCTCACCTGTGGGGAGGAGTGGGCGGGTCAGGTGACCCAAACTGACCCATAGGGTAATCCCATCACATCCACCCTGATCTGTATAAAAGGTGAGGGAGCAAAGGGTTCAGGTTGGCTCCTCTTCAATGGCTGGTCTTTCTTCAATGGCTGGTCTTTCTTCAATGGCTGGTCTTTCTTCAATGGCTGGTCTTTCTTCAATGGCTGGTCTTTCTTCAATGGCTGGTCTTTCTTCAATGGCTGGTCTTTCTTCAATGGCTGGTCTTTCTTCAATGGCTGGTCTTTCTTCAATGGCTGGTCTTTCTTCAATGGATGATGTCTGAGGAGGACCCTATCAGTTTGCCCACCTTTGATCCTGATCAGAGTGTCCTGGAATCCTGTTCCCATCTGTTACTGAGTCCAGTCTGGAACTTTCCCAGTGCCTGCTGGTGAGACCTCCCTGGGAACTTGATACAGTTCTGTATATATTTGTATATATTGTGTCTTTTTCATTATTTCCTTTTTATCTTAGTATTAATAGTTCATAAAAGTAGTTTAGTTTTTTCTGAACTTGTAAATCTGTTTATCTCTCTTCTTCCTCTCCTTGGAGTGAGAGGTGAGGGAGAACATCTGTCATCTTGTCATTGGTCAACCTGACCCAAACCACGACAGAAACCTGTCAGCCCACCGTGCTAGACATGGTAGCGTTGAGTCAACTGTGTATTTTCATAGCATGACAGTCCATCTGCACTGAAAGTCCTTGGTTGCCATATTCAGGTTTGGAGAATTACAGTATAGAGTGCATGCCTCTTCCTTCTTCACTTTCCCTGCACACGTGTGTTCGTGCACCCACACACTTGAATAACGCTCTCCCTTTGTCATTGCACTCTGAAAGCCACCAGCTGCGTCAGTGAGAGATTTCCAAAGCCCGAAACAGGAGTTTTTCAGCTTTCCCTAAAGCACTAAGATACACATATTTGATATTACTATCACTATAAGGAATTAAAAAAGAGAGAACTCTATACTTTGGGGTAACAGAAATGGAGGGATGCAGGAAGATTTTCTTGATGTAGTTAGAGCTTCTGCCGTACCGTTGGTTCAGATTGAAGGTCAGAGCCTTAAAAAGTTAAGTGCTGAATATTCAAATTTAATTTATAGCATTAAATTAGGATGGCTTATAAGTTTAACTAGCCTTAGGGGTCCTAAGTCTTTCCAGCTGAGGCCAAAAGGACTTTCAGCTGGTCAGCAATTCTTGTGATTGGGCCTGTTACTACTTACTGTAATTTTCTCGCACACCTGATATTGCTGCATTTTTCGCAGGTATGAATTTCTTTGCTCACATCTTTTCATGCCTCATTTGCTAACTCTTCTGTTCTGCAAAATTGGCAGGATGACAGCAGGCAACTCCCTCATCCTTTTGTGTTAGGACTAATCCTCTGGGTTCTTTCTGATGTGTCTCCAGAAATATATATTCAGCTTAGGCTGAATGCTGATTTGATTTGTAATACTAAAACGTGGACAGTGCAGATCATTTTCTGAGTATTTTCTGTCTCTTAAAAGAAGTCGTTGTAGAGGTATACACGAGCAGTTCCAGAGTTTTAAGCTGTCACATAAAAAATGCTTTTAAAATATAGATGTACTTTGGCACATGTCTATGTACTTTGCTGAATCTCTACATTTGGCTTCATTTAGCATACTTGGAGGCTTACAAATAACAATCGATGAACAGTCATTTAACAGGTTGCAATATTTTAGTGCTCTGAATTGTGTGTTTCTGCTTTGGCATGATAGACAGATTTTTATTTTGATTTCAGATTATGTGGCTTGGTTTTACTTCAGTCTTTTTTTACTTAATGTATGATTTAATTAAAATTTTTGTTGCAGTGATTGATAGTTGCTTTATTTGATACCTGTTTATAGGCATTTATTCATTACTTTTTCAGTGTACTGATATTTGTCAGAAGAGAATGATATTATTTCTTTTGTCAATGAAAATGAGGCTATAAATTACTGTAATTCTGGGATACATTTCTGGTATAAGCAAACAGTATTCCCTTGGTGAGTTTTCCTGCTATGGAAAACTGGGTTAAGCATAATATATTTTAGAAAAGACCTGGATTCTTCTAAAGAGGAATGACATTGTGCAATTCCTGGAAACTGTAAGAAGAATCTAAATGTATGTATATTTGTATTCAAAGTATGCCTCAGCATCTGCAGTGTTGTTCCTCCTGGTTCATGTAGGGGACTGGAAATATTTGGCTGTGGGCACTGTTCCTGATATATTTATTTATTTATTTATCTTTTACTCCAGTTCTGTAGGACATAAAGTGAATTGTTCAAGTCTGCTCACCTTGGTGCAGTCACTGGCCAGGTTCTTCCCGGAGCTGCCCTGTATATTACTGACAAGCACAAAAGGATGTAGCAGAATTACGGCTCAAGAGCGAGCTGTGGGAGGAGGGAGGGTACAATATATTCTTCCATGCTAAAATCGTAGCGTTAACATTCTCGGCAGTGTCACCGAGCTCCGCAGTAACTTCTGGTTTACATTTAAAAAATGCACCAAATAGCATATACTGTTGAATTCTGGGTTGCATTATGCAACAGAAGGCGATTGCCTCAGTGAAGCACATCTGCATTGCGAGAGTAAGCTCTCCTGGGAAGCAAGCGCATCTTCGGCAGAAGCCGGAGCGAGGCGTGGGCAGGGCATTGCTATTTTGGCAAGCGGAGGGAGCCAGCATTGGAAAGCTGCCTCACCTTTCACTTTCCATGGAACTTACCCTTTCTCCCTGTTTCAGGCACCAGCCGCTGCCACTTGCTTCTCCTAGTGCTGGTGTGGAGCTGGGGATGCTTTCAGTGGTCGATTAAACCACTAATCTGGGTTCTGGGAGCCGTGGTCCTTGCAGTCTGGCTGGGTTGTTTGCCATCCCTGAGCAGGACAGGCTATTAGGGAGCGGTAAGGAATGCAATTAAAAAAAAACATCTGGAAGAGCTAAGAAAATATTTTGGTTTTATTTAAAAAAAACAAACCCAAACCCACACTTCTGTGATAGTATCATCTTTAACTGATAAGTCAGCAGCAGTTGATGGCAGGTACAAAATTCCTGTCGTTTTTATACTGGGTTTCAGCGTGCTTCTTCCAAGACTCTCTCTTGCTGGATGCAAAGTCAAGCTCCTGCTGTCTCAGTTCAGCTGAAGTTCTTCCTGTCATCCTAAAGCTTGGTTATCAACTCTCCTGTCCCTCTTATCAGCATGCATTACATTTTATGGCAGTGTTTAGCAAAGACTTTCCAACAGCGCCTATGACAATGTGATTGGACTTCTCTGCCTGATAGAAATTACTCCCTCTTTAACGGGGGGCTCTGGATGCTTTCTAACACGGCTTGCTTTGAAGCAGGCTGGGGTGTCTGGTGAGCCAGTCTGTAATGTGGGTGCACAGAGTTTCACCAGGCGCTATTTGAAGTAGTTATTCGTGGTTTGCTGTTAAACTGCAAGACTGGAGTGATTGAGATTCCCCAGGGGTCTGTCCTGGCTGTGGTAATACTCATTGTTTTCATTATTGAAATGATGGATGGAGCAGAGAGAGCAGTTATTAAATTTACATAGGATAAGAAGGTTGGAGGGGGGCTGCAGGCTCCTTGGGGGGCAGGATTAAAGTTGAGAGCTGCCCTGGCTAACTGGAGGAATAGTTTGAGGGGAAAAAAACAACTAGGGTACAAACTTAGAAGTGGTGCCCAGGGACAGAAATACACCGTTGCAAGGCACGGGATGGGGGATGGCTGACTCAATAGTGGTCCTACAGAAGAAGGTCTGTGAGCTGGAGTTGGGCTGTGCTGGAGGCGTTTTGGGTTGGTTTAGTTGAATAGGGTGTTAAAAGTCACAGCTGGTTCCCAGACCACCAGAGAAAACCAGCCTGCAGCGTGTCCTGCTCTCCTGTCCCCTGGGATCTGGGCTGCCAGCGCTCTGCTGAGTGGGCAGCTTTTCCTTCCCTCCCCTGCCTGCTTCTGCTCCCACCCTGGAGCTGGTGACCCTGCAGCTCCATGGTGAGCGCCTGTCGGGAAGAGCCCCAGGTCAACTCCTCCCAGATCTGTTCCACCTGGGCAGGACAGGGCATCGGGGTGTGAAGGGTATCGTAGACCTGAGACCATTGGTGTCATAACTGTTGTACAAGGAACAAAGCTTCCCCATCTCCGCCCCTCAAAAAGCACCGTTTTGGGGTGTGTAAAGAAAAGGCAGGAAATAACCCGTCCGCTCCACTCAATGTTGGAAATGGCTCAACATCTAGTTTGGGGCACAACATAGTCAAGAGCCAGCTGGATGGCATCCAAGGAGAAGGCAGTGAAAATGATCAAAGATTTGGAAAACATGACCTGGGAAAGAAGATGAAAGAATTGGGATTGTTTAGTCTACAGGGGAAAAGGCCAGTAACAGACATGATAGCAGCGTTCAACTATGTGCAAGGTTCCTACAGGGGGGACGGGAATAAACTGTACTGTAGGACTCATGGGATTAGGACGAGAAGGAATGGTCTTCATTTGAAGGTGGCAAGACTTAGGTAAACATCTATGAAAGCTTTCAAGTGATAAGGGTATTTTGGTGCTGTAGTCATTTGCCTTTTAGAAGGCTGTGGAAGCATCATCGCTGGAGGTTTTTATAATTCCTCTAGGAATATTTTGGGCACTGCTTCGGGGAAGGAGGTGTAATACATGCTTCTGAAGGTCGTTTCCCAGGAAATAATGAAGATT